TCCTTCATTAACTAAATAAGTAAAATATATATTATATCCAACTATGCCCAGATAAAAATTAAAAAAACATTTGTTTTCAAAAAAAAAATAAAATAATAAAGAATGAATTATATCTTCATTTTTTGGGGGGGGGAAAAAGTATCAAGGCTCAAGGAGGGTATTTTGGTTTAAAAAAAAAAAAAAGACTAAACCGTAGCCCAACTTTTGGTTTAAGGAAATCTTTGTGTGTATTTTGAAAATAGAGGGACTCCTTATAATTCAAAAAAAAATTTATGAAAGTAATTTGCACAATCTTACAACAAAATATGTAACTAAAGCAACTGCATGGTGGTCACCAATTCAAATGCAAATTACATATCTATTTTGTCTTCCCAAAGCAAGAAATTGATACTTTTTTCAAAACAAAAGTAGCCAAGGTTACGAAGTAGAAAGCAATATCTACAATAATCAATGTTTGTGCTTCTATTTTACCATAAGACAGAGGATAGGTAACTTGTAATTCCACCTTTCAGAGTGTAAGTTTACACAGTGAAAAGCTTTTCGTACTCAGCTAGACCATTTAATTTCTCACCTTGGGCAAAAGATTCATCAGTTGTTGACTGCTCTTCTTCATCAATTACAGACAATAATACTGAATTGTTCACAAGATTACAGATTGCAATAAGAACACCAAGACCAAATTGAGCAAGCAGATACAATCCTGGCATAGGGTGATGCCACAGGCCTATGGTTTCCCAAATCTCCATATCCTACAAATGAATAAAGGGTTTTAGCTAAAACGCTTAATAGAAGCGTCACTAAGTTTGCCACAAGCCTCCAGCAGTATTATACCTTCCATAAATTGTTATTGAATGCCACATTGAAGACATATGTGCAAGCAGCCCACAAGAGAATGAAAACAAGAAGCATTCCATTTAACTGATGCAAGCGAAACATGGAAGGGAAGGCATACAAGATAGCCCACATAAGCAAGCAATCCAAATGCACAAACACTTGTAAAGTAGAGACTCCAAAATGTCAGTGCAAGCATGGAAATCTGCCAGTTTCACCAATAAATACAATATTAATAGACAATAGATAGCAGCTTCATGTGTTTATATCAATATTCTGATAGAAATCTAGGCCTCTATCTAAATTTACAGTAGGAGAAATAGAAAAAATAGGATGAAGGAACAATGAATTCCATATGTAATTGTAATAAGAGGACTTAGGTAGTTAAAGCACGTTGGGTTCATTAGTCGTTAGTGGTGTTAATGACTACCAGACCGTCAGAAAAGTAGGCTATAAATAAGAACCAAACGCATTTGTAATATAGTTTGTTATAGTCAGTAAAGGGAATTCATCCAAGTTTCTCTCGTCTCTTTGTTTCTACCTGTGAGTCGGGAGACCTGATTGCATAATTTCTGTATTTTTCTTATTTACAGATTGTGGGTACACAGATTTATATATAATTTACAGGGTAGGAAGAAGGAAATATAATAAAAGCCTATAACAGCTATATTCAACGGTAAAGAATCAAGGAATAATGAATCATAAATGTCAAGATAATGGGATAGAATTAGGGAGTAATTAGCGAGCATTATATCTGGGATTTCACACTACCCTCCTTCTGTCTCTCTCCTTTCTCTCTCTTGACCAGATTACGATTCAGCATCAGAATACTAACAGTTGAAGAGGCCGGAAACAACAGATAACCACAAAAAATAGTAATCCATCTGGTAAGTGATTGCAACGGTCCCTCAAGTGAGTAGTTGTAATTAAGAATGAAAAAAAATGACGGCTGAGGTCATTTACTGATGCATCATGCACAACAAGGAGAAAAATAAATGAATGAGTCCATATTCTTGGTGAATGCCGAATCAACTGTTTCTCTGTATATGGAATGCCAAAAACTGGACTTGAATCATGCACAGGATTGATGTAATGAGGGGCAAATAACTCAATAAAAAGGAGATAGAAAGTGTACCGGAAAACCGTAAGTTAAGAAGTTAATACTAAATGACCTAAAAGCAGCTCCTCTCGATGAAATACCAGCATGCCTCAAACCAAATCTGTCAATAAATTGTATAACAAGACTGAAATAAATTGCCACCAGAAAACTTCCAAAAATAACATCACATAACAAGAAGCAGCGAACTTAATGGGAAATCTGGCAAGCAATCAATGGAGACAACGTACAGAAATTGTAATCATCAAACAAAAACTAGAATGTCAGACCTCATGAGAGAAAGACAATAAATTTAACTACATAATGTAACAAAATATTAAGGGGGAAAATTTCATGCATCTTGTCTTGTTACATGAGAAACTTCTTAATCAAGCAAAAGGAGTTTTCCAAACAAATTCATCAGTACATTATTACATTGACCCTGCTCTGCCCCCAACCACCCCTCTCTCTCTTTCTCCCTCACACAAACACACACGCGGGCCCACGGACACACACCCACACCAAAAAAGAGCACAATAAGAGGTGTTAATGCAAAGTATATATCCAGATTCTTGCATTTACAGCTCAACAATCGAACTCTTAAATCATTTTATTGGCAACATTATTAGTTGTATTATATGATATATCCATTAAGGTAACCAAGCGAACAATTAAAGGAATTAAAAATCGATATCCATTTTGAGGCAGTTAACCACAGAAACTATCCTCACAATAAGTATGAAGCTTCAGCATTTAGGAAGCGTGGGGGAGAAAGAAAGAAAGCAAGATCATACAGAGCCATTGTTTCTGTCTAATTACCGGGATTCATGACCAAAAACAGGATACTTTTGGAAAAGAAGTGGCTCAGTCAAGTTGCTTTCTCTTGTTGATGTATCGAAATCCATGTCAATTAAATCGCTTCTACTCCAGGAAAGCTGGGAAAAGATAAAAGTAAGTTAGGGACTGTAGAGAGGAGTCAAAAATATTCTGTGTATTTCGTAGATTCTGAACAGTCCATTCCTATATTTACGCATAGTCTTTAACTAGAAGTATAGACAAACATCACGATATTATAAGAAAGAAAGCGAGTCACAACCCGCAAGTTTAAGTTTTCCTTTCAATCCCTATGACAAGAAGTTAAATTCTTTAGCATCTGGAAGGCACGTGATTTATCTGAATACAGGGGTGCAGGAATTCATGCCTGTGACTGGTTAATATTTGAAGACAATTCTCCCTGAATGGATTCGCTGTTGACTAAAACTCCAGACGTAAAGAATAAGATAGATGTAATATCATGTGGCTTTAATGATTGGAGTGCAATAAAAAGTCTAATCACCCATTAAAGACATTATTGTCTCATTGTGTTGAACAGATGTAGAATTCTTAATCATCAGTCCCCACAATCCATGTTTTGTGCATGGAACTTGTAACAAAAGACATAATACAGCATTTAAACTTACTCAATTGTCCGGAAAAGCAATCTTTATATTCAGTTAAAATTGTTGACTTCGATTGTTTAATCCTCTTCTCTTGTAAATTCTAGAGCAAAAATAAATAGCACCCATAAATGTACTTAACCTTAGACGCATAGTCCCAGAACACACACGAGAGTGTATATCAAAAACCTTCCCATCTATGTGTGGAAATCATTCGCTTGGATTATCGTTTCCTAACATTAGCATGTCAGGGACAATCAAACCGCAAGACATAGTCTTTATCAAGAAGTATGTAGAGAGCCTTTTTCCTTAACAACAGAACTAAATAGAAGCAGTAAGTCTAGTTCATTATATTTACCATGATGTAGAAGAGTAGAAGCGAAAGACCAGAGCAAACTCGGGTCCATTCCAATTTAGCAGAAACTTTATAGAGTCCAAAGAGATCAAAAATCCTCCTCAATATCTCTGGGAACTCGACGGGAAGTTGATATATGTAAAGAAGGATGATATTCAAACCAGCATAAAACAGAAGGTACCTCCGCCCCCTTCAAATTCATGTAAAACGTATTTGGTGAGTCTGTCAATTTCTGTTGTGAAAAAAACTAAAAATGTTTTCTGAGGGGGTGCAGGAGGTTCTAACCGAAAGAGGCCCGAGAAATTGCTTGTCAAAGACCAATCAACAAGCCCTATACTGCTGCAAATAAAATAAGGCAAAGAAGCCCAAGATGGGTGACTTATTCCAACAGTTATTTGTATACCGGGCAGCAATAAGAAGGAGAAACCCCTAATATGAGAGCCTGCGAGAAAGAAAACAATACAGCAGCCCAAATCGACATCCATGTTATGACCACTTCATATGAAAAAGGTAATTAATTTGTTACTTTCATTTTACGTGTTTGTGAATTTTTCACTTTACCAACAAAGATATGCGCCTTGATGAATTATTCTTTGTGTGTGTGTGAATACATGCACATAATATACATGCTTCTATATATGTTTACTTACTACTGGAAGAAAAAAGGAAATTGATAACTGAGTATAATAAATGGTAGATAAACAAAAGAAATACAAAAATTCAAACTATTAGAAGACAAACCTATCAGCAGAACAGAAGAGCATAAATGTCCTGGATGAAAATCTCTCCATCCATCCGAAATATATCTACTTCCATAGATTTCAATTATTGAAGCAAAGACGATCAATATCTGCATAACCAAAAACTTCTCTGTAGGCAAATTCCACCAATACTGCACCCTGCAAATCCATTCCGTATGCTATTTGTTGTGTTTTTAAAACACTGATGCATTGAGGGGCAAAAGTCTATGCTAGAAAGGGGTAAAAAGCAAAAAAGAGGAAGTTCAGGCACCTTCTAAATCCAATTAGCTGCGCCCACTGAGCATTGCTGGTGCTCCATTGGTCACCCTCAATGGCCCAAGCAATATGAAATATGGCATGTGAAAGAAGGATTAAAGAGGAAAATATAAGGACACACCAAGAAATTGAAGAATGTTGACGGAAGCAAGAACCTGTTTGCCAAAAACTTTCAAACATTTATCATGTGAAGAAAAGATAATTAAATTTGCAAATAAAATATTAGAAACGTAATATCCTGCGGGGACAGGCGTATTTAAGGAAACAATCAGTATCCATATAATAATAGCAATAATCCTTGAAAAGATGTATAAGGTTGCTAACTAGAATTTACAACCAAGGAAACTAAATTTCTAGCCAAAGATTAGGACTATGAGCCTATAGCCACTCACATAACCCTTTCCATCCAAAGAAGCACATAAAGTAGTTGCATGCTGTATTATTATTATTATTATTATTATTATTATTATTATTATTATTATTATAACAACAACAGCAGCAACAACAACAATAAATAACAAGAAGAATGGGAGAACTTTTGGACAAATTAACAAGAAGAAAAGCATGGTATGTCCATTTGAAGTGAGCTAATTCCTCCCGGCGTCTAAATTTTACAGCCTATTACTTATTTAGTTTTCATTATTAAAAGATGATAAAATCCAAAAGCCTTGTTAGTTACCGATATATTAACCCTCAGAAAAATTCAATTAGAGAATGTTAAAAAGAAAGGTGCTCGTGTCATCATGAAAGGAACAAGAATTTGAAGAGGAAGGAGGGTAAAAAGGAATTATGGCATGAAAAAAATGAAGTGCATATGCGGGTGAACATCTTACCCCTTCTGATAGCAGTGCACTGAAGGTAAAGAAAGGCTAACAAATCTGCCAAAGATATCAAACTCCAGCTAAGTAAAGCGGCTGCATGGAACAGAAAATATGTCAACTTTTAAGAGAGACATTGGGACAAGACAAAGGATACTGTAGAGGCGACTTTATCTAAATTCAAGTTGCCATAATAACTTATTCATGGAAGACTAAGAGTGTAGCTACCGAGACAGTTATGCACAGTCGTAACGACAGAGCTTGCGTAATTAGCCCATTATATGCAAAACCTTTAGAATATACATCTGCATGCACAAATCTGATATCTCTCATGTCAAAGTAAAATTCAAGTGCGAACTTAAAAATACGGAGTTATGAGATCTTAACCCAA